GCTTCGTGCGAGTGTGTGAGTCGAATACCAAAAAATCTGGGAAAAGTCCCTCAAGCACAGAACGATGAGCTCCGGTCGTGGAGTCGAAAGCGGCCCATGAACGCAGGCCACTACGGTACCTCATCCCGCTCCCTGTGGGACCGCCGAAAGAGGGAGCACTTTAAAGAGGCTCTTTGCTGAAGTGACAGAGTTCCGGGTCCACCTAAGGAGGCCCAACTTCGAAGCGCAACGGTCTGGGAGGAGCTGCCGCTGACAGTGCCTCGATTTTTCGTAGGTGCTGGATCATTCCTGGAAGCTTTGATGGTGCGGAAGCGGCTGCATAGCACAAACAGTTGTGGTGAACTCGAATCTCTCGTTTAGTTGCGATCCCACCCTCGGAGAGCGGCGATTTGTGGTTGGACTGGTCGTTGTAGTTGTTGTTGCCATGGCCGGAACGGAACGACCGACTTCTAGCCATAGAAGCCCGGCAGTGCCAGCGAGGCTCTTTTTCGGGAGTGCGCCCGGCGAAAGCTGGCTGGGCCCCTGGAGGCGACTTCCTTCGTGGCCCAGCTGCAATCGAAGTGGTGGTGTGATCCCGGAAGGCAGCATTCGAGTTGATGGCCCGGTAAACTACTTTCGACGAGGTTTGTCCGAAGTTTGTTAAGCTGCAGACAGTACACTTGAATGTTTAAGTTTCGAAGGAACTGCAGCGAGCAGAACTTTGGGACCGCCTGCTGGGTACTCTGTGCAAGGCACGCGGTGTGGTAAGGGTCTTTCATGGCAGTGAGAGTTTGTCGTATTCACTGCACACAAATCTTTGAAGAGACAAGCTGTTCAGCAGCAGCTGGGGACAGATGCGTGCACAGTGAACGCATGTCTACAAGCGCCACACTCACACATGCACGTATGCACGCACTCATGAACTCACGCACTCACCCCTCTCACGGTCGTCGAAGGAAGTCCGCGAGCCGAGGCACTTAAGCCTGGGCACTTTGCAGCAGACCAAGTAGAAGGGCGTGTATATGATGCATCTGGCATATGGATACAAGTAGGAAAAAGTGGAGACCGAGAGACCCTTCAAAATAGCAACCTTCGTCTACGAAAGAAGCTGAAGTGAAGGAATCTCATCGCCAGAGTGTCGGATTTGTTGCGCCCTGCCTGACACGGGCCCTGTGCAACCAGTTAAACCAGGACCTGTACTTAGCCATCGGCCTGGACTTGAAGCTCTTGGTCACCACAAAACGAGCCGCCGCATTATACCGGAGGCCGTGAAGAGGGCGGAGCGAAGCGAGGGAAGAGCGGCTGAGTCTGGCTTGCTGTGTGTGTGTGTGTGCGTGCGAGAAGCTGCATAAGCTTGGAGCTGTGTACACTTCATTGTGTGCGGTTTGAACCTGACAGAGCCGTTTTCCCCAAAGGTTGCTAGTAATATACCTGCATGCACAGCGTAGTATAGCGTAGTGTCGCACAACGCTTGGGACTCCCGGATAGTCCTGGACGCAGGTGGCGCGAGATTGACGAACTGCCTGCCCCTGCCTTGCAGAAGGAGTATACAACCTTTGACCTGCCCAAAGTTGCAGAGATGCTGGGATTCAATCTGGGTTCAATGTAAGAAAAGCGGCCTGAGTAGAAGTTGAAGTTGGTAGGACCCAGACTAGGATCCCAAGACTCATGCTTCTCATGCCTCCACCTGCGATGACTCAGCACTGACATGCCGAGGAAAGAGCAAAGAACTCGAGTGAAGAAGGTTGCCTACTGGGACGCCCTCCCGTTCAATGCCTTGCGGGAGGAGGGCTTACGAGTTGCGAGTCACAGGTCTGGCCTTTGTGTGTAGTATCTTCACGGATTCACGAAAAGAGGAGTGTTGGAACATGGGGATGCGCTCGGCGTATTTCAACTCCGCCGACTTTCATGGTCGGCGTGAGCGTTTGATTCGTGAGGCCCGGTCGACTCTTCATGGGGGGAGATGAGTGCGCCACGCAGATATTGATGTTTCTGCCATAGAGGACACCTCATCAAGTTTATATGATAAGGAGGCCACCTTTACGACACCGAGCGCATATGCCTGCAACCGTAAGCTTTTTGCGGCAGGCTATTTGGTTTCAGTGGGCCCCCAAGACGGGGGGCCAGACAAAGATGCCAAGCGATGCACGGGGATGGCAGCCGCCACCTAGAGAGCAGGCCAAGGACTCTGCAGTCTACGAAATCCGTGCTGCAAAAAATCGCCTAGCGCAGACAACCTCTGCAGGACCAGGGACGACCGAACTGCCCCTTCGAGTACATGCCGCCGCCACCGCAACCGATGGCTTCTTGTCCGGCAGCTAGAGCATGCTAGAGCGGAGAATTTTCATGCAGCCTGCCTCATCAGCTCGGGGGTTTCTCCGGAACACCGCAGAGTGCAGAGTGGCGCGAGGTTCCTACGCACATCCGTCAGCATCTTCAGACTTTGCTGCTGCCGCCCAACGCAAGCCTGCGGGACGTCAAGGCGAAACCATGCCTTCCACATCCTTCCACTATAGAGATCTCGTGATGCTTGACCAACGCAAGCAGTAAAGGGATATGATATGCATGTGGTATCATATGGTAGTGCAAGCACTGCTCCTGCTTCACACGTGCTACTTGTAAGGCCCTTGTTCTCAGGCCGCCTACAAAAAGCTCGCGCTGAAGTATCATCCAGACAAGATCCTTGCCGGCGTCAGGTTGGGGCCGACGAGATCCCGGGATTGGGGTGCCATCTTCTTTTCAGTGTGCGGGCTGTTTCTGCCGTCCGCGACTTTTTGGAGATACTGAGATAGTGTAGAAGCATGTGCTTAAGCGAGAGGTTCGAGCGCATTCCAGAAGTCCTAGGTTATCATATTGTTCCTTTTCCAAGATCTTCTTGACTGTCGACCGGCAAGGAACAGCAAGGACATGGAGGATCTGGTGACGCAGCGGTTTACGGAAATCCGCTCGGCTTATGACGAGTTGTTATCATACTTCGACGAGCCCGGCTAGGGAAAAATTGAAGTGCATATGTTGCGTAGGTTTGGCCAGACACGTGGAAGATCCTGGACGTGCTCTCTCAGTGTGGTCTCGTCATGGCCCTACTAGCCCCGTCCCAATAGCCTCTGCCGAAACTGAGAGTCGAGTCGCAGCAGCCATTCCCAAATCCCGGACAAAGCAGTCTTTTCGAACTGTGTTAACAACATGGGACAGAATTGCCTCATCGTAGGCAAAGCGGACGCTCCAAGATATCGTCTGTATGTTACATCCACACATGCCCTACTGCACCACGCAAACCTACAAGTACCTTGTGGCATGTTACGTTTCTCAGCTCAAGATGCTGTCTTTCGAGACTCTATCACACACGCACACAGAACATCATGTGCGTCCATGGATGTATGGCGACGGCACCTGCACCGGCTCCTGCGCGTGGGCTCCCTATTATACTCATGCCAACTTGTAGATCAGCACTTCTGACAGTCGTCTACCGGCTTCAGCACTGTCAGAATTGATGTTGGCTTTGTGGGGCGTGCCCTGTCAGACCCCACCAGTTTGGGAATGGCTCCGTCCCAAGATGCGCATGTTCGAAGCACCCTGAGGTTTCAAAATCCCGCATCTCCGCCTTGGGAAAGGCGTGTGAGATGGGCAGGAAAATACCCTGACGGCAACACACGAAATGTCTTACGGAGTCGATCCGAAAAGAGATACTTAATTGACGTTCCGCACACAACTTCCGACAGCACGAGTGGTTTCTCGCTCACCTTCCGAGTACGGGTGCAATTAGTACAGTACATGGAAGTAAGACTGATGGGAGCCTTACACCCCTTCAGATGCGCACATTGCACACTAGACGGCTTAACATCCGAATGTTCGCGTTAAATTCGCAGAGATATGCAAGAGCATGCATTGACATACTGTCTTCGGGAACCCAAAGCTTTGAAGCCACTGATGCACGCAAAAGCCCAACTTCCCATTTCAGTTACGCTGCAGTTGTACATTTGTAAGTTGTAAAAGTTGTTCGCCCCTTGGAGGTACAGAATTGGCAAGCAGCCCTGGAGGTGCTCGGACATCTCAAGGCCACCTGTGCGGATGCACTGCACCTGGCTGCTACGGTGCATCCGAAGCACAACACATTTTCATTCATGGGGCAGGCACACCTTTTTGAAGATCGGCGCCAAGCGATAGCACAGCCTTAAGCCTTCCGGGCCTCACCCTGACCTTTGTGAGGGCCGCGTCGACTGCGGTGTCGTGGGCGCCGGCCTGGGTGCCCTGCAGCGCGGACGGGCATGGCAGCCCGGCCGAGTTACGGAAGCCGTCAGCACATGCAGATTCAGAGGAACGGGTCATCTGGACCGGGGAAAGGTTGCAGAATCAGGATGCACGCGCTTCCATTGACTTGAGCAGAGTTTGAACAGCACAGACATGCTGTTTCAGTGCGCCAGCATGCCTCGGTATTCATAGCGAGTTTTAGCCCAAGCTTTGAGACTTGACATGACTTGACTAAGGGCCCAAGGTAGCACCTCCGCCCCGGAGATCGTAGGGGTTGTTTGGGCTAGTTGGCTTGTCCCTTTCGCAGGACTTGACTGGGCACGTGAGATCGGAGAAGCTTAGTGCCCTACTGTACTGCTTGACACATTGGGGTTTCTACTAAGAGGGATGCAGCTCTCCCCTTGCCTGGTCTTGCACCCTCTCTCTTGTTTCGAACGAGTTTCCCTGCGGTGCGACATTGTCAGCTAGGCGGTGCGAAAAAGGCAGGACTACGAGTCGATACTGCGACGGCATCTGAGAGTGAGAAGCAAGTAGAAATCCCTTCATCGCCAAGGCGACACTCACTGGCGCTTTGTTTGGATGCTCAGAGGCTCCGGAGCACTTCCTTGTGATTTGGGTCTTTGGTCAAACGAAGATCAGGTACGCCAGGGTCAGGATTCGCTGCGCGCGATGATTTGAGATCTCAGCAGAGCACAGCCCGGAAATCATTCCCTTCACAAGAAGCAGCACGCAGCCGCCCATCGAGAGCCAAGGCCCCGACAAAAGGTGGAATGCATTAAGGATAAGGAAAGTTTGCAGCAAGGTCGCTTGACACATCTTTTACGATTTTACGATGGCTATAACGGCTGAGGAGCTCAATGGCTCGGAGATACACCCACTGCTAGCGCCTTTCCAAGACGCGAGGTGCCGAGTCGCAGATGCCGCTGCCTTTGGGACTGCGGCCATGACGCTGGAACCTGGGCTTCGCTCCGAAAATACCTTAGTCTTAGATGACACCGTGCCCTTGCTGTTTCAGCCGAGGATTTCTAGGAGCGCCCAGGAGTGTAGCGTTGCCCCTCGGTCCCGAGTGCCATGCTATCTCTAATCACTCTAATCACTCTAATCTTCTGCCGCAGTGCTCCTTCCAGAATCGCTTTGCAGCCCGATTGGATTGAGGGGCAGACCCGACACCATGAGACAGGAACAGTGCAGCCGCTGGTCCCACTCTACACAGCTGCTTGCGACGACTTCCCTGCAATACGTCGTTCGAGCTCCTTGGATGCAAGTTGCACGCTGTTCGGATTGTCAAGAAGTACAGGTGACCGGATGCACCAGGCGATTGAATGCCCTCAATATTTGAGTGCGCATGTGTTTCCTTGACCTCATCGAAGAGTGCCTTTAGATCGCCCACAGTTAAATGCCACTTGGTGCTGTAGATGCTCGCTGCATTACATGCCAAGTGGCAGCTTTCATCACCTTGTTCTTCTGCCCAGCCAGAAATGCATTCTTGCAGTAGAGACACCCCCGAGACGACCAAAACCCAGAAGTTGCCCCTCAGGGCGTGTCAGCACGGAAGCGATATCATGGCATTGCGCAAAGCACACTGTGCCTGCAACATGCGCGGTAGACTTTCACAACCCGGCTTGAAGTACAGTCGGAACGCAAATCGCAGCCTAACTCGATCGCCATGTCCTCAGGCCACCAATGCCGTTTTGGCGGCGTGCAAAGACGGCGGCTTTTTGCGGGCCAGGAGCGGGCAGAAACCGACACAAAGTCAGACGGATCCACGGAGTGTAGTAGTGTAGTACCGACGCGTCGGCTGCTGCACGGCACGGCATTGCGTCCTTTGCTTCTGGGGGTTCCCGTCAAAAGGGACCCACATGGACCCACAATTTGCTGGCAAGCTTGAGATGAGCCGAGATGTATGTCGAGCTAGATACATATTTTCCTACATATATATATATATATATTGTAGAAGTTAGCAGCTAGACTCAGCTAGACTGTCTTGTCAAGCTCGCGAGGAGCGCTTGAGTTCGGAGCAGAGTTTGGTGAGTTTGGTCTCTGCCCTTGCGTGCAGAAGACTTCCTGCTTCACCCCCCATGCCTCAGCAGCACGGACAGCCGTCTCTGAAGCATTTCGCACCTTCGCAACACTTTTGAGCACGGGCTCGACAACTCAAGCCTTGAACCACGAGCAAGATGCACCTGGCACAGGTCGTTGTTCGCCTCCTTGGGGGCTCGACGAACTACGCCGGACTGATGCAGACAGTGAGAATATTGGAAGGATTTAGCCAAGCCGGTTAGTGCTTGATAGACCTTGATAGCAACCGAAGCATCTTGAGGGGTCTGGACATGTCGGGACTATCGGAGGCACCGCGTTTCCGTCCCACCTAGTGCTTACACCGCCATCACGTTTGCCAGGAACCTGAGAGGCCAGAGTAGGCAAGACACATTATGGCGATGCACGGAGCATTATGAAAGGACAATTGCAAAGATGCGACATGACCAAGGCAGAAGCCAATTTTGTGGCATCCAAATTTATGGAAACCTGAGCGTGAAAACGACCACAAGTGAAGAAAGGAGTAGCCGCCTGGCCGCCTTCTAGCAGGATGTCGTCACGTACAACTCCATCATCAGCTGCTCAACCGGTTCACGGTGCCTTGCCTGAACGAGACCAGAAGGTAAACAAGGATGTTGTTTGTCCTGCGCCGGGCTTTGCCACGAAAGTTTGCAGTGCTGGAAGGTAAGATTCAGGTGTCGTCATGCTACATTTACATCCATATGCCGAAGAACGCACGTGAGAGCTATCAGACGACGATAGACTATTTCAGGTGGCCCTGGGCCCTGTGGTATCTTTACATCTTGACGACCCGAAGTGCAGCTCAGCCAACAGAGGCGCGGAAGCAGAGATCTTGAGGTTTTTTGGTTTGTCAAAGCGGTGTCGCTATCAGCTGTCAACATTTTCCGAATTCCTGTCGGTATTCCCCTGAGCAACTTGCTTTCGCTAAACGAATTCGAAATCGATCCGGTCCAGAAGCTGTGACACTCAGCCAAGCGAGGCAATGTTGCCCATGAACCCGGCCCATGCAGGCCACCTTCGCCAGCGCCATCCATGCATGCGCAACAGGTCCGTCATGCAGCTTTAGGATATCAGGAATTCAGCCTTTGCTCGGCGCGCAAGAGCTGCATTGCAAACTGTGCTAAGACTGCTGAATTGCCGAAACAAGACAGCATTCGTTTCACGTCCGCACATGTCCGCACAAGCAGGTACCGAATGGCGCCGTGCATTGGCCTTGCTGGGGCACCTGACGCCACATTCCCTGCAGCAGGGCGCCTAGAACGGCCTAGAACCTGAAAGATCAGCAAACCCGGTTGATCAAGGATCATGGTCGTTCCATTTGTGACTGCACGTGACTGGAACTATCTGTACTTGTGGACCCTGCAGGCTTCCGTAGGCTTGTAATCCTGCGCCCAGCGTCCTTGAGCCAGCTCGGCATCCCAGAGGATGTCGAAGACGAGATTACTCTCCTCCCTCCCCCTTTTTTACTTGGAGGCATATCCAGAGGCATTTTCGTGAGAGTCCGAGGCCAACGACCGTGATCTTCGGCGCGCTTGGGCCCACAGTAGATCGGGGATGTGAATATTTGCGAATGCCTTTGCCACCGTCGACTGATTTCAGTTCGGCGTGTAGCAACGGGTAGAACAGGAATCTGATGGGTGTGGCATGGAGGCAGACGTAGTGATTCCTGAATTTAAGCACCCTGTTTTGTATCCCACGGTTTTGGGACAGAGTCTCTTGGAAGGCTCAGATGGATGTGTTCGGGGTTCCACACACCGATCACCAAGCACTGGAAATCGCAAAGCCATTGCTCCGTCCCTCGAGGTGCATCGACGCATGCGCAAAGGCGTCGTGAACCCAGCTGGGGCCCAGCCGTACATCCTGCGCGGTACGAATCAGAAAGCCCTTCCATAATTCCAGATTCAAGCGAAGGCTGTACGTACGATAGCCACAAAGTTGACATCTGAGGCGGCAGTGGCATCAGGCAGCAATGCTCCTGCGAATCATGCCCTCACAAAGGCAGATTGATTTGGGCCTTCCGGAGTCGTTGAGCATTCGGTTGTTGATGTTCTTTGCAAGGAGCTCGGAATACAGACAGGAAGCAGCTGATTTTGGCACGGGCACGTCGACGAAGGGCCCACATGTTCCGTAATTGCAGATCGTGCCGAACTCCAAAGCCTTAGGTCTAGGCTCTTTGAATGTGTGCGCAGCCGGGCAAGTTTGATGCTGACGTTTCGGGTGTAGGCCTTCCAATGAACAGCTTCGGCTTCGCCCCCTTGGATCCTAGCTCTCCGGACTCGTGAATGCAACCGCCCTGTCGGACAGCTTGGTGGCCAACACACTCACGACAAACGCCTTGATGACCGCCCTGGCCACTGGTAGCCGCTGGCAGGGGGTCCGGGCCCCAATGCGGTATGCACAGGAGCTCCGGGATGTGAACTACGGATAGCCAGCTTCGTGAGTTTTGTTTGACGTGAATACTGGAGGGCCGGCTGCGCCGCGGGGTCTTCTTCCATAGTGTTGGCGGTCCTACAAACTTTGGATCCGGCTTTCGAACGCAAGCAACAAGGATTTTGCCCATCAGCATTGCGGACTACGGTCTGAAGTCCACGAGCTTCTCCGTGCCTCACAAACCGCAACAGACCCCATCTCCACACTTGGGCTTATTAGTTTTCTGTTGACCCACGGCCTACGGTACAGCGTCACCAAACGTGGTCTAACAAATCGCACGGCCATGGGAAGCAAGGCTTTCCGGAGCTTGTCGTGTGGATGCTCTTGGTGCGCTCTGCTCTTGCATGCTCTGCCAGCACGCTGTTGAAAGCATTTCACGGCTGCTCCAGCGAATGCAGGCCCTCGCACTTTTTGAGGAGGCCGACAAGGCGCAGGGTCTGCCGGAAATGTTGAAGCTTCTAGCCGCAGACTCGCCAGCTCTTAAAGTCAGCTGATGTCAACCTCGAAGCTACACCCGTAAGAGCAGCCCTGCTTGAACTTGGATTTGTACTTCGTGGCGTCGTTGCCTGCAGCAGGATGGTGGATCATCGCCGGCCGCCTATGGAACCTCTGGCCTGTACCTGGAAATGCTCGAAAGTCCAATCACAAACAGATGAGACCAGTCGTGAGGTTGAAGCTATTTGGAATTGGTATGCCGATGTAGGCCAAACTGACAGTAAGAAGTACAGCCAAAAGCATAGCTATCAACGCCTCGCAATTGCTGAAATCCTGGATGGAGCGGATAAAGCGTTGATGGCCGCGTCCATTGGTTGCTGCTTTGCGTGCATGTGCTTAACGGTTCCCGCAAGGGGCCGCCTGTACTGCGATGGCCGCCGGTGCACTTTGGAGGCAAGCACCTCAGGCTCAGGGCCACTTCATAGAAAGTTTGGGAGGGACTCCCGTCTTCACAGGTTCCAAGTGCAGCGCGCTAGCTACAAGCCGTGTTGAGAAGCTCCAAGACTGGTTCTGGCCAGCCATGCGCCGTAAGACGAGGTCCGCCCTGGACCTCCTGGACTTGCCAGACTGGCCTGTAAAATGATATTTTTTATTTATTATTATTTCGATTTTTTGTTACTATTTTTACTGTTATTATTATGAATGTTGTTATTGGTTTCATGCGGTTCGAGCCTTGTCGGTCGGCCTTCAACTCTGCAACCCTGCACAAGAAATCGTTGCTGTTGGAAAGGGATCGATTGCTTTCAGGTGGCTTTGGTTCGGGTTAACCCTGAACCCTAAACCCTAAGCCCTAAACCCTAAACCCATAGGACCCTAAACCCTGGTGGCTTTGGTTCGGGTTAGCTTCAACTGCCAGGATGTATCGCCGAAGCTTACCCAGAACGATGCAGGTGCCTTGCACTCGCATGGGCTTCTTCGCCTGTATTCCATGATGTTCCATGCTTCAGTCTGAGGATTAGGACTAAGATGGGGAGTTAATTATCATAGCCAGGCTGTTTGGGCACAGTATAATTACAAGTGCATAAACAAGATAAGAATATCTGGGGACTACCTTCGGGATTATTGCATGTTTCAGGCAGTGAGGAAATAGCTCCAAACAAAGGGGAATCACCCAGCCGAAGCCGATGACGACAGGTTTGGCATTCGGCACAGACTGCAACTTGGTCGCAGCGTTGGCTCAGATGTTTCATTCAGCTGCAGAAAACAAAACAACCTCAGCCTTGAGTCACCGGGGTTATGGGTTTCGGTGCGGCGGGCGATTGAAAGGTAGCTACCCAGGTCACGAACTGTTTCGATGTTCTGGGGTTTGCGAACGACAACCTGCAAAGATCAGTGGCTGTCTGACACTGCAGGCATATGTAGGCATATTGACAATATCCGCGAGTTGCAAACATATGGACCAAGCTCCTTGCTGAAATGTAAGGCGGCAAGGTTTCATTGAAAAAGACATGCGATTCAGGAGAATACTCGGGCCAATCAGTGTCTAGCTCTTCAGAAACGTTGCCGTGCTGCTGCACCATCCGTTCTTGCACAGTTTCTTCTGAAAAGAAGGCCATGAAACGGATGGCCATCCACCGTCATGTAAACCAAGAAGTGGACTTCCGGAATCAGGTCTCCTTCCGCAGCTGATTGCATAATATTGCGTAAACAAGGCATGCTCCAACACCGGCCAATGGACGAAGGTGCCAGGGGAGAAGTGGTTCGTGGTTTGAAGGATTCCGATCTGCCCCCCGCTTGCCACGGCTGTTGCGACTCCAAGACAGATTCTGACGGCGCTTGAATTGCATATGACAATCCCGTACAAATGAACATCCGAAGCACACTTCCGGTTATCGCTTCAGTTCCCACAAGCGACTACTGTCTTAACCCAGGGCTTCAAGGTGGTTGCTGCCAGAGGCTTCGGGATTCCCCTATGAGATCGGGACCACAGGTGCTCCAGCTCCTAGAGGAAGCATCCTCCGAGGTGCCTCGTCTTGGGCAGCTGATCCTCAAGGAAAGAAGTTATTACTATTGATTCTGCTTTTATTCTGGACTCCGATAGTGGCAGGGGCTCACACAGCATGCGTGTGCTTGTTTGATGCATGGGGCCTGACGGTCTGGAAATCGGGAGTTGGGGGGCTCGGATGTGAGTAAGGTGCCCTTGGACCTCGCGAACTACTTGACCGCCTTGGCTTCAGTAGAGCGAGGCTCCCTGCAGTCCCCGGGCCAGGGAGTCCCAACCTCCCGAGCAGTCCAAACTAGTCGAGGTATCGAATCTGCCGTGTTCTCCAAGTGGGGGTTTCCGATTATTAGACATACCTTATTTTGGGGTCCTTATAATAGGGATCCTACTATTTAGGGTACTATATTAGGGTCCCCTATTTTCGGGAACCCCCAAGTAGTTCGGCCGATATCAAGTTGAGCAGCGCAACCTGGCAGAAGTGAACGGTCTGCTTAGGGTGCCAAGTGTAGGTTTTTGCACACGCTGCTTTAGAGCCCCAAGGCAGCTGAAGAGCCGATGAAGGGTCGGGTGGTGCGGGTGTGATGACGACGATGTTAGTTTCTTGGCAGGTATTTGTCCACCACTGTGTTTCGTGAATGTTTCTCGATGTTGAAGCTTCTGCAATCTTCTGCAGAGATTGCAGGGGTGGTCACTGATGCCAGGACATGCTCGCCGAAGTATAGACCTGAAAAGTATGTCCACAGAGACAGGGATTGTAGCGGTAGCGACACCCCCGATTAATGAAAGGTTTCGAAAACTAAAGCTTTCTGCAATTCACGTGCTGTTTGTCACGTCCGCTTTGTGGAGGTGGCTGTGCCCATCACATTTCGCCGCTGCTGCTGCGACTAGCAGGCCGGGTGCATATTCGGTTCAACTGTGGAATACGGTCAGTGCTGTCACTGTGGCATGGCTTCGACTTGGCTATTTGGTGAGTCCTCGACGATTACATGCCCACTGTATCCCACTGTCGCGTAACGAAGCAAGACATTTGTTGGGCGCACTGCAAAGAAAGGGATCCTGTCGGAATTGGCACGATGTAGCACTTGGCCATTGACAAGTGCCTGAGTAATTCGGTCTATCGTGTTTGCTGCTAGTGATGCTAGTGCTAGTGCGTCTGCAGAGCCTGGGGCATACGGTTTGCTCTCAAATCACCTGCGTCGGCACGACTACAAGGAAAGAGGCTACAGAAATCATTCGCAAGTCTGTGAGCAGTCTTGATGCTGCCTGGCTCCCCACTAATGAAAAGCTGGGTTTGCATATTTCGCGTCTGTACTCCCCAGGTCCAGACGGGTGTTGTCCTTAGGCACTAGGAAATGATTACAGGGAAAGATCGAAGATCTGCAACTCAGGCCGAGGCTATCGCCTGCTTGTCGGACGAGCAGGCCTGCCACAGCCATGCATGCACCTACACTAGTCTCGCGACCCTTGAGCATCAGCAATGGAAAGCGGTGGGGCTCCAGCCATCGATGCGAAAGCAGAAGAACTTGTCATCTCTTCGGGGAAATTGTAGTGCAGTAGCATTGTACAGCGTGGGAATATGCTGCCCGACGCACGTGCCAACAAGCAATAGACAGCTGCGCAGGAGAGACACCGAGTGATACGGAGCTGCTCGGCTGATATGCAGGAGGTGACGTGAAATGCCCGGTACCTTGCAACTGCCCCGTGATGAGGCTCCAGGACGACATAGTTTTGCCTTTGTTGTGGGATGTTCAAGGATGTTCAAGGTAGATCTATCTGCGAACCCTAAACAGAGCTTCAGCAAAGACAGAACCTTTAATGGACCTTTGGAACCCCACTGAAGCACCTGCTGCACCCCCTCGTTAGTTTCGGAAAGGCTGCTGAACCATCCTTGAGACTGTCAGCACTACTGTAGACCTACACATGGCTCCACACCCATCCATAGATTGTATGTCTTGTGCCCTGAGTCCCGATTTGCAAGCGTTTGTTTCTCAGCTTGACGGCTAGGTTTCTCTTGCAGGCCCTGGGTACCTTGCGCCGCCCCGGCTGCACAAGCTTCACTGCTCCGCGTTGGTGTTCGGTGCGCTTGAAAGAACGAGGAATTTCAAAGCTTATCCGGTTATGTTGGCAGACTACCAGAGCAGCAAGCCTTTTTTGCCTGGCTGTACTAAAGGCAGCACTCGGGCAAGGTCCATGTACTGTAGTTGCACGCAGCGGGGTCGGACTCAACTACACGCACAACAGCGTGGCCTAAAATATCGCTCGCGCCACACATTCACACCCTCGAAGCAGCATTGTGGCAATCTTCAGCACGAAGTGTGGCCAGTGCACTAGGCTGGAGATCGAAGCCACACATGCGCGCTTTGCACATACAGCGCCTACAATTCGCGTTCTTCGAGCCAAGGAGATCACTGGAATTCTGACCTTCGCCTCAGGTGTGTCTTGTGTGCGCACTTTGGTCTTACTTCGAGAGCGGACTCAAGCACTCGTCTTCTTGGCATGCTGTGCCTGTGCAAACACGTCGAGTTCTGGACCAAGAAGCAAAAGCTTTGTTCAGCCTGGCTCTTTTGTGACCGCTCCAGGGCAACCCGATTGGAGCGGCTTCGCCACGATCATCTACGCAGGGCTTCTAAGTCGCATTGTGTCGCGAAGAAGTCTGCAGCTTAGCCAAGCTGATTGAGTCTGGCTTCGGTGCTGCACGATGTCGGAGCGTGCCGGGTTTGGGTCATCGACATCTCGAACCTTATGTAACATTATTTTGTGTTCAGCAGTTGAAGCCATTAAACTAAGCTCAAAACCGTAATATTAGCCTAGTGCCAGTTCCCTGTCTAGCAGGGTCGACCCAGTGCGATTACCAACAGCTGTGATGCGGGGTGGCAGTAGCTTTTGTTCGGGACTCCGACTTTTTGGTGTTGCCCTTTCGGTTGAGCTATGTTACAGCTGCTTATCTGCTTATCCTGATTTTTGACATGGGCTTGCTTTTGTGCTTGGACCTGCGGCTACTGTGTCGCCTGGTGATCCATATTCAGCACAAGCTTTATTCAGTTCGGGGCTGCTCTGCCTGCGCAGGAGCCATGCCACTCTTCTCGTTGATGTCGCGCCTCATTGTAGTATCATACTTACAGCGGGTTGAAGCCCAAACAGCAGAGGTGACAAGCGGACATTGGCTTTATTCGGCTCCCAGGAGCCGACAGACTGCTCGAATCCTGACCGACGAAAGCATCAAAGCCCAGAAACCTCAGCTATCGACACGTACGCCAAGTGCTGACACACGAAAGCGCCATCCAGAATCGCCAAAATTCACTATGCCCACAAGTTCCTCACGGTTTAGTAAGTGGTGTAGTATAAATCCTGTGAAATCACTGACCCTCCACGTAGATACCCAAACTGTGACAGAGCACCACGACGACTGAGACGACCACGAGCAAAACGACCACCAGGACCACCACCGCGACCAAGACGAACACGATCAGAAAGCGTGAGAAGGAAACCCGCGGAGAACAGCCATGAGCACCAAGGCATGACCCGGAGCCCACCGGGAGACCACCAGGACACCCGAACACCACCCAGAGACCAGGAACCAGGAGACTTCATTCAGGAAATCACAGACCACCAGGAGACAGACCACCAGTGCAGGATCCAGGATGGCATCCAAAATGCTTCAACCTATGTGCTGGCGGGATTCAGAGACAGTTCACCACAGCGGAAACTTCTGCAAGCGTCGTGGGCTTTGCTTCCCCCTGCACTCACCGAATTCAGAGACACCTCAGTGGTAGTTGGCGGAAATTTACATGCGCGCCTCGGGGCTGCTCGGGTGATTCGGGTGCTGCTTCCCCATATGCTGGCTGAATTCAGGGACACCTTACTACAGCGGTGTTTGGTGGAACCTTCTACATGCCCTCCGCACGTGCTCCTCGCGGCCACACCACCTCTTTTATACCACACGCTCGAGACATGCAAAAAGCCTATAAGCCCCTAAACCCCTAAACCCCTAAACCCTAAACTGTACATGTGAATCGCTTGCGCAGGTGTTCTCAGGCTCCCGTCCCCATACCTCAACCAACATGGTATTCCGGACCTCAGGCGAAGGAAAAGAGGTGATAAAAAAAAAAACTGTACATGTTTAGGGTTTAGGGTTTAGGGTAACCCTAAACCCTAAACCCTAAACCTTTTGGCTCAAGGCGTCGTGGTCTTTCCGGGGGCCGCGCTGCCTGCGCCAGTGTAGGGAGAACATTTGCCCTCGCCTTTCCCCTCTTCTTTTCCGTCTTGTCTCTCTCTTTCAGGATATTTGAGGGGCTTCAAAAGACGGGCTCCGCTTTTAGCTAGGTCTGCAGCAGCTTTGTTCTGAGCCATATTAGGTATGTCAGGTGAAGGTCTTCTTGCAGGGATCGTTGGAGACCAGTTGGAAGGGGCAGGCGTAGGATATGTAGCCCCGCCAGAAGGCCACCCCAATGAATTCATAGCACCGCCGTCGCCCCGTATGGTAGCAGCCAGCAGAGAAGCCCTTGCGGCAGCTTTGGGGTCAGAACAAGCCCCAGCAGCATTGGAAACCATCAACACAGGAGCACCCATGCATGTGGACAGCACACGGGCACGGACAGCTGAACAAGCAGCGTTGGAAGGCCAAACAGATTCCCCTCTTCGTAGGCGTGTGCATACACACCCCGTAAGCCAGGACGTGATCCCGGAGTTTGATCTGACTAAGGGAGACCTCGATGATGATGAACTTAACAATGTAGAGAAAGCTGCAGTTGAGGCCTTCGAAAGAAACAATTGTCCGGAGTTTGGGGCCAACAGAGACTTGGGCACTTCTCATGCTACGGACCATGCTAGAGCCCCCCATGTAAGTGCATTACATCCTCCGCACTTTGCAGGAACTTTGTTCCGAAATGCACCAGGAGCTGGTACCTTAGGGTCTGGTACTGCAGAACCCTCTAATCAAGTAATTCATGGGGCTAATTCAGTGCAAGCAACAGGAGCCGACGGTTTTTTTCAGGTAGGGAAATCCAAGCCAAGTCATGTGGCACCACAGGTAGCAGAAGCAGCGACTACGCCATCACATTCCCAAACAGGTCTGGGCACATATTTGGAAGGTACCAGAGCCCCCCCAACGGACCCCAGTAACCACATTCCTCCTTGGCTCCCCGCGCTGCAGGCTGACATCACTAGGTTAGTTCAACAACAGGACCTCTTCATACAAGAAATAGGAACCTGCTCCGCAACCACAAAGCAACATGGAGCCATGCTCACTACCTTGCAGACACGTACCGAGCACCACGAGAAACTGCACACTGATCATGAAAGCCGCCTAGTGCAGCTCGAGAGGGAATTAGTTAACATTAAGAGCCGATCAGTTTCACCTATCACCCCAAGAGTAGAGACGACTAGGGGATTGGGCTCTACCACGGCCTCTTCGGTTGGTGGAAGACCGGTTGACGATCTTCAGATTGTAGTGGGGGGGTATGTTAATGCCAAGAGATCTGAAATTCAGAAGGAGATCGCAGATTTCTTTGAGACCCAGCAGGGACCCCAACTACTTCAGGAAGTCTATGTGCCGTACACACGTAGTAATATTGCGCGGATTGTGCTGCATTTTCCTGACCGTGCTGACCTTGCTGAGAGACGTAAAATTCAGGGACAAGTACTCCAGGCGCTCAAGAGCGCTTATGTGAAGAGCAGCATCCCAGGCCAAACAGAAGCCAAGCTTTGGATTCAACGTAATAGGTCCCCTGAAGAAAGGCAGAAGATCAG